GTTTTATTAACGCCCTGTACAAGCTGCACGTAGATGAAACAAATGTTGAGTATTGTACTCTCGCATGCGCCTGCATATCGTCCCAGCCCGGTGTTTATCTTACATTATTATACGTTCTTCTTACGCGTGCACAAATACAAACACACACAGACACACAGACACACAAATTATTTAATATATGTTATAAAAGTATGTACGCAATACACACACGCACCTCTAACAATAACATCGAGCCACGAGTCCCTTATCATCACATACACACATACTCACACACACCTGTTTGCGTTCATCCTGCACCATCCGGCGGTGACAACCCCCGCACAGAACAATATACGGAGTCTCCTGTATACGCCCTGCAATATGCTCTGGTGTACCGAAGGATAAGACGCGAGTTTCCTGAAAATAGCATGTTATCGAGGCACGCGGTAGGTATATACGTACCTTTACGCCACAACTGAGATGATGAATGATGGTTTGTGTGTACCGCTTTTGTGTATTTATAAATATATATACATAGAAAGAGAGAGAGTAGATTTATACATATATATGACTTATACTAATATATTAATAATTTTACGGTGATAATTGGAAACAGTTATATATTATAATTTATACTATTCTCACCAGTATATAAATATTAGGGGTATTGTAAATTTTGCCCGAAATGAATAAATAAACAAAATGTCTATGATAAATTCCACCCGGTAAAATATCCAAGTAAAAAGATACATGTAAATGCAACCCTAAAAAATATGCAGGTACAAAAATGAATTAGTAAATGCCGCCCGGAAAAATAAATATTTTTAAACTAAGCATTCCGTGACTGTACGACGCGGCGTGTTACAGTATTTGGAAGTCACAAAATGTTCGAACGAACACGAGATAATCGTATCTTAGACAACAATCGTCAATCATGTCATATCTTATCAGCTTTGCTACATATTGTGAATCTAATAATTGGAAATATTAGATAGAAATATTATAAATTGTGTTCAGTACACGTTCTAGAGTCTTATACGCCTATACGCTATAATAGCTCAATTTATCGAATCAGAACGTGGAAATATATTTTTAGTATTAGACATATTCAGAAATTTGTTTATTAACAGTAAATAATAAATGAATTCTTTATAAACCTATTGGCTATTATACCTATACGGTTTTGATTGAAAAATACAAATAAAAGTAACTTTAAGCTTTTAAACTTCATTAAGTAATAAGAACTTATAAGTTATAATATAACTATTATATATACATATTATGTAGGATGTGTTTATAAATTATCATTTTTTTTCGAACGGAATTGATATGTATGTTTCTTTACCTATATTTATTTTGGGCAGTATAATTGGTCTGCATAATTTAACATTATTGTGTATTTTTACCAGCACGAAAACAGTAGAAAAGTAAACAATATAATTTCGACGATATAATACGCAGTTCATATGGCTTGTGACTATATTTTATTATATTCTGACTTCTGTCTCATTTTCAATTTATTAAGTACACCCTACCGAAAATGGCCATATTATTATGACGTAACTCTTATTTATTCACGTCAAATATCGACTAATGATAATAAATTGAGAAGTAATACGTTAAAATATTTGGAAGGTAAATGTATAATCTGCGTAATACATAAGACTTTTAATCATATGATTGGATTTTGAAGATTAATAATTATAAAACTGATACATTCATATAAACAAATAAAAATATTTCAATATTGTTTTCAAATTATTAACTATACTAACCAATGATGATGACTGTTTTTATATATACTTTTTTTATATCATGATTTTATTTAAGTACACATATTTTAATCTGTAAGACGAGTTTTATTGAAATTATATTTAATTATTATGCCATAACTTTAATTAAATTATTAAATAATAGCTTCTTAAAATATATTTTGAATAATAAATATTTAATGGTTTTAAATTTAATTAAACTATTATATAAGATAAGTATTTTTCCATTTATTTTATCATAAACAATATACATATTAATTTTTTGAAGAAAGATTAGAATTTTTAATGAACACATAATGTTAAAATGAGTAATGAATTCTTTAAGATGTTATATAGGTAGATCATGTAATATATAGTTATTTTAAGTGGTTTGTGAATGTAGTATACTGACACTTAAGGATATTCAAAGGTCAATTTAATAAAAGGAATATCGTTTTAAACACTTACATCAACAATGGATCATCCATGTAACATGTATTATAAGGATACCATGATATACGCGCAGTTAAAATTAAAAATACATATGTATATAAAGTATACATTTTCGAATCAAGTGCGGACTATTGTACGAGTGTATAATATTATAATATGGAATATTTTAGTAATGATCCTATATGATATTTGGTTGTCGGCCATTGAGTTAATTATTATTATTGTTCATAAGTCATAACTATCACGATTCACGAGCACCATGTGATAAGTCCTCATATATGTGATTAGCATGTGAACGGAGCTCCGCGATCACAATTATTATTTTCACAACTCAATAATTTAGTTTGGAGATTCGGTGGGCTGTCATCATATTGAACTCGTAAAAGTCGTATATCGTTTGACGGATTCCCATTAAACGCCAAAATTTATCGCCTCAAACGACTAAACGTGAATTATTACGTTATTACATATATATGTGCATGCGTGTTGAGGCAATGCTAGAGGACAGGAAGAGCGTTTGAGAAAAAAAAATAAACTAGCGATACAAAGATATGTTTCGTGATGTCCGTCTCGCGAGATGGATTTGTTTTTTCGAACCGGATATACATATACGTTGTTACTATGTGAATGTGTGATATTGTGGTCGCAAAACAACTCGTTGTCACAGTACCTCCACGGACTATCGGCGGACGAAAAGATTACGATTGCGGCACGTTTGCGAATTATAATGAGTAATATGAGATCTTAAGGTGGGTCTACATACAAATGCATACAACACACGTCGTATATGAGATATATAGTCTGAAGTGTAAGATTTCAAGCACCTCAGTAAATGTCGTCGGTGATTTAATCATTGTGCAACATGAACATACGATTTAACATATGGTATTATACTATATTATGTGTAACACATCACAATTAATGTAGGTATTAACTAATCAACTAAGTCGATTAATGCTAACTTTATAAATAGATTATTAATAATATAAGTAGAATATCTTAACTATCAAAATTATATTCAATCAAAAGTTATGAATTTCCTAATCGATAACGAAACGAACATTAAAGAGTATTATTTCAGGTAGTGAAGTTTAATAATTTACTTAAATATTATCAAATAATGTTTTCATATTATTTTTGGATTATCGAATTTAAATACAATAAAACTTTGATTAACTTTGATAGTTTGAAATGTGAATAATTTATCCGTATATTTAGTTATATTTAGATATGTCAAAAATTTCCGAAGGAAAGCTTCGTTTAATATGGGTATTAATATCGAACACGAGGAACGTTTATGAATTTATTTAAAAAAATTAAAAATGATGCATATGATTTGTGATTTACATGGAGAGACTGCGTAAAGATAGTTTAAACGTGTTATAAAAAATGATAGTGTATTACAGTTGCGGTTGCTTCTATACGTATATACGGGGGCTTGAGAGTAGGAGAAAACAAGTGTCTAATGAATTATTTTGAGTCTTACTATTTATTTATATGTGACAGGGTCTATATCATTTCTAGAACCCAATTAAGATTTATAATGTTCCCTTTGGAATTATACCCAAAATATTTTATATTTTTCATCAATTATTCAGGTAATAACATTTACACGAGATTTATTTTTACTTACATTAAACAGTTAAGTCGACAAATAAACTATTTTAATGACCTTTGAAAAATAAAAGATATTTGTAGGTACTGATCTCTATTTAAAATTCGTGACATATATATTTATTAAATTATTCAAACCATATAAACTATAATATAATTGAGATTAAAATATTAATTTGATGTAACATTATTTACCTACAAATACAGTATATATACTATATAATACTATATATGTAGTATTATAGATTATCTGTATTATAGGGAGTAAAAAGTTGTTAAATAATTTTATATTTTATATTTTTATAGAATATATTGACCCATATATATATATATGTATTTTAATGAGTTGTACATTTTTGAGTGTAGATATATAAGTATATATAGAGAGAAAGTATTTGTTTATGGTAAACCCAATCATTACATAGCTACTATATTGGCGATGTCAATCTAGTATAGAATATATATGTACGAGTATATATATATATGAAAAATACGTTTTAAAACTTGTTTTCTTATGGGGTTGACATGGTCCACATTTAAGACGTTTCAAGAAAAACAGATGTGACGATCAACCCCGCATGTGTCTTCTGATCGAAAAACATTGTGCTATTCGCGCCTATAAACACTTTATATGATACAGGAGTATGGCCCATGCAGTTATAGTAGTGTATATATATTTAAATAAGTGGCATGTAGAGAATTTTTCAATGAGGACGGGGTTCAAATTCAAAATTAATTAATGAAAAATATAAATTTTGGATCTTATGATATTACATATTATTATATATGTTTTAAGATATGAATCGGCTATTTGTAAGTTAAACTACAAAAAAAAAAAAAAAGAAAAAAAGAAACGTTATTTTCAAACGAACAAATACAATAATTATTTCACACAAAATCTAAAATACGACAGGGTCCTAAGAGACCGCAATGAATTTAACATTATCTTGTAATATATCTATACACGGTTCTTCCGTTATAAACAATGAACTACTTGCGGTACATGCGTTTGACTTTATTATTTTTAGTAAATTGAATTAAGAAAATTATTTCCGATGAGATGAACACCATAAAAAAGACAAAAATAAGTAGAACAGGGTAGAAGTTCAAGGTTGGAGAATTTACGAAACCGATTCGAATTTACTTACACGAAACAGACGTATATACTTTATATTATAACTGGAACATCGAAAAAAATCTTACCTCGTGGATCTCGGCAATAATAAATGTTTATTCTTATACGACGTTCGATAGTATAAAATATTGTGACGTAGTACGCACTTCAGGACGCGATGGCCATCAGACAGATCTGGCGGATTCGACGAAATTCATAGTCAAAACGCGTTGACCCGATCGGTTGTACGATATATAGTTTTTTTGGTCTTTTTTATTTTTGCCGCGCAAAAATATAATTTAAATCGACGATACCGTTCGACCGAATATTTACGGATCGGATAGCGCGAGATTATAAATCGGAGAAAATCCGAATTCACCGGGTGGGCGTCGGAACGGAAGAGTATACCGGTTACTTCTTGCGCGGACGTCGGGTGAACTGCGAGCGCACACTGTGTACGATTAGATAAATTTATTATTACGCACGTCTACTACGGCGGCGGCGGCGGCGGCGTGAATACTATTCTTGTGTTGCGCGCTGCCGTATCCTTTGGCGCGTTGACGGACGAGCCGTGCTGCCATTGGTCCGCGTGCCAGGGTAAACGGTCGTCCTCCCCTCCGGCCCCACTCGCACCCGCACACCCCGCGCGAACCGTGCAGCGCGCCGCACGACCGCGGTCCTCGCGATCTGACCGCTGTTCGACCATGCACCGTCGGTCCCGACATGTCGGCCCGCTAATCGTGCGCCGCCTGATGTACACGGTGCAAACACGGACGGTATACGAGATAGTGTAGTACGGTGTTGGAGAGCAGTTAGTCGTCTACATCGCGTTTTCACAACGCCGCCGACCGCGGGACTATGTGGGTGATCCCGTGGAGTGGTCCCATCAAAACGGGACGAATTCGGTGTACGACTTGGTTAAACGTGGTCAACTTGTGTTACCCGCGTGGTTAACTTTCATGCCAAATCGTCCTCCAGCATCACGCCATTGTAATATACGCGTCGAAATAAAACTCGTAAGCGGAAAAGAAAATACACATTTGATTTGACAGCTAATTGGTTTTTTTCTCCGCATACTCCGAATAATCGTTAATACTCATTGTCTTGCGCATAGCATACGCGAACATAGCGTTCAATATAATAACTATTAATTGATTATAATTGTATCAGATTTAAAAATAGGCCTCGTACACTAGTTTAATATACATGTATCAATTTTATATTATTCTTAGCCGATTAAAAATGTCTTATAGAGTAGCAGAACACGATAACATTACCACCCCGGTAAGATGACATACTCGGCCAATACTTTTCACTTGCTACACACAATGCTTCTTACGTCATTTCATATCTGAACGTATATAAATTAGTGAAGTTACTTTTCTTTTCACTTTTAATTGAATATGTTAATTATTTATTATTGCCTTAAGTCATTTAAGTTCTAGATGTAATTTATATTTAATATTCGAATTTGAATAATTAACATATGTACGAACAATAAATTATATTATAACTAATTGTTATTGATAAATAAACTTATTTACTGTTTGTTGATTAACATCACGTCTTATGTATTATATAATTAATAATTTAATGTATTTGTAAACATAAGATCTAAATATAAATATATACTTTTAAAATATGATAAATAGATAATACATTACGGTGTAAAAATTAAAATAATAAACGAGAGAAACAAAAATTAATTATATTAATAAATGAAAGCAAATGGTCAAATGAAAGTTGAAGAAATTAAAAGAAAAATTATTAAAAATACCCAAGAGTGAAGAGGAGAGAAGAGAGGAATGCAAAATGCTATTCTGATACACATTATAACAAAAGAGAACCTTACTGCTATATTTTGGATTCCATTTGTATCAGATACAAAATAGTTATTAGACTTGAATAACAAAAGTAAACCAATGACGGTACTACTAAAAACTAAGTGATACAGGGTGGGGCACTGAAACGGCCGATTTTCAAAGATAAATTTTCTCATTAGCAATTAAATTAAAAATTTTCTCTAAATATTATTAGTTGCAAGACAACATGCCATTTAGTAAACAAGGAACAGTGGAATGTTGAACAAAGTGCTTATGCGATAAAATTGTTTTACAAAAATAATGACAGTTACGTAGCTGTACAGCGTTCATTTTTTCGTCTCCATTTTAATCTTAAACGCAATGTTAGTACCATTGACAAGGCTATTCAAATATGGGTAACCAACTTTAAAGAATCGGGTTCAGCATTAAAAAAGAAGCCTGTACGAAAAAAAAGCACGTCGCTGTGTAAAATTCGACATAGAGTTTTACTGAACAAATTTAACAAAAACATGTTTTGTGCAAAACATTTTTGACTCCTTATGAGAGCGGTCCTAACAGCATTGATGTTTACGAATGCTTTTTTTTTTACGAGCTTATTTTTTAATGCTAAACTCGTGTCTTTAAAGTTGGTTATCCATATTTGAATAGCCTTACCGATGGTACCGAATCATGGTGTTTAAGATTGAAATGAAGACGAAATGAACGGTGCGCAGCTACGTAACTGTCATTATTTTTGTACAATGATTTTATTGCGTAAGCACGTTGTTTATCACTCCACTGTTCCATGTTTACTAAATAGCATGATGTCTTACAACTAATAATATTTAGAGAGAATTTTTATTTTAAAACTACTGAGAAAATTTATCTTTGAAAATCGGCCGTTTCAGTGCTCCACTCTGTACAATTTTGATTTGTATTCGAGAATTTGTTTAAGCAATTTTTATTTATTCGATAACACTTTCATTTACCTTGATTAGATACATAAACATAACTTATACACAGATTATATACTGAACTTTGAAAATTAATTTGTATTTTTTTTTTAAATTTTTATTTTTATTTATTTATATAAAATAATCTGTTTAAACAAGCAAATTCAATTTAGTAATTTATATGAAGTATAAACACAACATTAAGAACACATTTTAAGGAAGTCACCCATTGGTAACATCTACGAACTTGAATTTGTATTTTTATATATTTTAACTAAATCATTACGAACTAGGTATGAAAACTAGATGGATTAATAATTTTTTAAATATTCAAAAGACAAAGACAATTTATAAATTTGAAATGAAAACCTATATAATGTAAACATTTTGCTAACTAACTCAGAATGATACCTATATAGTTAAAAAAAAACCTTTAGCTAATAATGAATATATGTATATTATATACATGTATACACATATAAAACAAAAAAAAAATATTTCTATAATTTACCAATAAAGTTTGTTCTGTCCACAGATTTATAAAATAAGTAAATTAATCTGTAATAATTTTTGGTTTTAATTGCGTATAGTTTGGTATTATCATCGACAGTATAATACTTATTATAAAACTGATATCAGGATGGGTTATTCGGAAATATTAACCATGATACACTCGGTCAACAGTTCATAAAAATAGACTGAGGGACTGCTGTTTTTACTAACACGGCTAGATAGATATTATTTTTAAGTTCACGCGAAAACATAAAAAACACACACAGGAAACATGTATATGTGTACATTAATATTTTAATTTACTCCAACTCAAAGCTATAAATTAATTTTAATTAACCGAAAAAGTACGACATTAGTACTTTAATATTTCATTTACCAAATAAATTAAAAAAAAGTTAAATATTTCAAGGGAATCGAAGAAATTATTTACAAATTATGCATTTACTATAAAAAATATAAGCTCCAATAATATATAATTGTTAAATTGCTTAAATAATAATTCTTTTAACTGTAAGATGATTTCAAATTATATTTTTTGTTAAAAATAATTTCAAAAGTAAGTTGAATAACTTTATAACAAATTACATGTTATCTGCTGATTTAGTTTAAAAAAACGTAAACACATAAATAACTGGTTTTATAGTACTTTTTTTGTTTTTTGTTATAAATAAAACATATGTTCCATAGTAGTGAATGTACTTAAAAGTGTCGTTATAACGTATAAAATAAAAGAAGTATCTATTAAGTAACCACCTAATGATTTATTTTATTTTAATAGTTTTTTCTTTTATTATAGGCACTGGAACTTTCAATACATATTTTTATGATACACTTAAAACTACCAACTTGACCGCTAGTTTCTGTTAAATGCATTTATTTATTATATTTTATTATACTTCCCTAAGGTGGTTTACGTTTAAATACATGTAAGTAGATGCATAATACACAAATTAATTTTAAAATGTTTAAATATTGGTAAAGATATATGCAAATTTTAAATTTTAATGTTTTCATATTTATAGTGTTTAATCGTATAAGTCGGCGTACATTACCGAAGTTGGTTAAAAAAAGGGATCCTCAATTTTTTAGTTATTTAGTGCAATGCGAAAATAGTTATGCACAAATAGGAAAAATACAGACAGGGCTCATATGTATATTATATACTTATATATATCATTCACGTCTTCGGTGTTTTTTTTTTCGCCCGTAGTGTTAATTACGGCATATATGTCGTATATTTTTTCCGCAACGTGCCAATGTAGGTAAGTATGTATACGTGAGTACACGGTTAAGTATTGCATTTCGTAACACACGTGTTTAAGATAAAATGTCAAAACAGATTCGAACGCGGGTCGGCGACGACGTCGTCGGTGAACGTAGACACGACTGTTTGACATACATAATAGTGTACATATTATTGTGCATATGTACCACACATAGATGATTCCACCGGAATCAAGATGTCCGGAAACCCGGTGTGCGCGGCACGGCTGTACGTACGCGTACAAACCTCAAGTAAAATTAGCACGTGCCCCGGCCCGTGATGAGCTTCTGCTTAAGGCCGGATGACACATAATCCCTTTGGCGTGCGTGCATGCGTGTGTGTGTGTGTGTGTGTGTCTGTGTGCACAGCCGGCCGGTGGCATATTATGATTGTGTGATGATGTGAGTGCATACAGTGTGTGTATACGTAGTGCGTGTACAGGATTAACATGCGATATGCATGCGATACGTATGTACAGGCGCGTACACAATACAATGGGTTTTAGGGAGGATTTAAGTTGTGCATTTCCATACTTATATAATCCATAAACCATTTTTACTCCATAAAATCATGTTTTATAATTTTCCTGAATTTCAAGGGGGTTTGAATCCTTAACCACACACCCACCCATTGAGTACTCTCGTATGGATACGTGAATATGAAAACCGTAGGACTAGTGCATAAATATAATCGTGCAGTGATTCTCGTATGATTATGGGTGATTAAAAAGCGTGTATACCGTAAGACGTGCGCGATCGTCGGGGGATGTAAAAAAAAAAACGAATATAAATATGTCTCCAATTATGATTGTCAGCGTTCTACGCATCGTGTAACCACTGACGACGTCCTCTGTGGCAGTTACATCACGTAGGTATAGTCCACGTGTACTCCAAATGGTTTCGATCGAAACAATACGCCATGCGCCATGTACACGGTGTGTGCACAGGAAGAATCTGGTCTTGTGCGCAGTCGTGAATCCGTTTTATGG